GTGATATTTTTTCACAATTTTGTAAATAAATAAATAAATATTTTCTATACTTAGTTAAATCAGGAATTATATAAATTCATAAATAAATAATAACGATAATATCTCATTATTCTGTCATAGTTTCGTTTAAGAATTTCTAAAAATAGTTTAAACCCATTCGATACCGGTTTATCTTTAAATTCACAAGTTTATGTATATTTATTACCATATAAACACTTACGCAAAATACTTAAATTGGTTCGATCTATTCAAAATCACGGGCGAAATGATTTCATTTTCCACGCAAGGCTCTTTCTAATTTATGCACATATATGCAAGATCGTCCAATCATTTCGCATAAAGAGGACATTTGCATACGGGCATCATTTTATAATATTAGGATATATATATATTTATTTATTATATTACAAAAATGTTTTTGCGTCACATTAAACATAATCGGTTCCGATTGGTTACACGTGATTACGAATTTTTAAGGTTAGGAGTTGCCTGCTTTAGCCGAAATAGTATTTGTATTACATACTTCAGTATATATATATATACTGTATACTTATTTCGAAAGTGGTAAACGTTATGGAAAATGTACACATAGTAATCATATACAGTATAATACATCTCCGGCTTGGTGTGAACAGCTCAAGGATGGACGAGTGGGAATAAGGTTATTAATAATTGTATTAAAGAATTTCGAATTAAAATTACAGAATATAAGAGCGTGATTGAGTGGATTTCTTTTAATCGATTAGATACTATTCACAAGAATGGTGATGAATTTTTGGCAAATTAGCTAGAATAATTAATAACGAAGTTTTGAGACTTTGCGAATTGAAATTACCTCAAAATACAACTATTAATGAGTATATGATAAATTCCATTCAAAAAGAAGTCATGAGAATGGAAAGTGTGCACATTGTAATAGATATAATATATCTAAAATTTGGTGGCTCTCAGAAACAGCACGAGGATGGACAATATTATTAATGACTACCTTAAAGAATTTCAGTTTGAATATGAGAATGTGATCGAGTGGATTCCTTTCAATAGATTAAGTAATATTCACAAGAATGTGATAAATTTTAGTAAATACACAATCGTGTACATCACTATGCATAATTAATCTTAAAACATTGCATAATTCTAGTGTTGCAGAAAAAAATTCTAAAACATTTGCTAGTGAGAAATCTCAAAATTTGATGAGCTGTTAAAAAGAGGTAAGCTAACTCTATATTTTATTATATGTCGTTTATTTCTATGCATATACTTATAAATTATATTTACCTCTTTAATAAATTTAACTACATAAAGATAATAAACTTAAAGTATATGGGTTAACTAAAAACGCTGTTACAACGACTATATACTTGTATCCAATGAATTTATTCGGAAATAGATAGAGATAAATGAAGAATGTACACATTGTAATATATACAATATATCTATAGCTTGGCGTCAGACATGTGACCCTCAGAGAGTAACTCAAGAATGGACAAATGGAAATAGAGGAAATAAGAATATTGATTGATATGCATTAAAGAATTTCAGCTTAGAGCCACAAAACATGAAAATGTGATTGAGTGGATTCCTTTAATGGACTAAATAATATTCAAAAGAATGGTGATGAATTTTTAGCAGACGACATTCTGGGACAAATACGAAAAATACATACGAACACGTACGTCACCATATATTATTGTTCTTAAAACATTGACTAGCTCTCGGGATTTTTTAACAGTAGTAAGTTAAATTGTTATTACGATTATTTACAGTTTATATGTTTGTTTAAATAAATTAATACATCATATGAATTTATTTTGTAAGTTTAAAAATCAAATACGATTAAAAACGAAATTAAAATATACGGGACAACAATTTCCAGCAATTGATAAATATATGATGGTATCAAATAGTACAATTAATGGCGAGTGTAACGATAAGTATGCTTCTAAAAGAATCATTATTATGGTATTGTAATCGGTTTAATACTGCAATGAACTGGTGTCAGTCATATGTGATCCTAAAGAGTATCTTGTGAATGGACAAGTGGTAATAAACTTTGTACTGCAAATCATGAGAAAACAATGGAGTGGATTCCATTTAATACATTAAACGTAATAAAATAATGGTAAAGGGAGTTAGGTACTGTATTTTTAACCAATCGGCATCAAAGCTCTTCAAATAAGAGTAAATATAAGGAAATCGCAGAAGACGACTCAAGCCATGCACTTATTGTCGTATTCGCAGTACAAGAAGTTTGCGCTATTTCCTAAAAGGACAATCTCAACAGAATTGGGTGAGTGCTTATAATGTTATAATGCAAAATAATTTGCTCATCACAATCTATCAAGGTAGCATTCCAGACTAGTGATTGGACCCGTCAAAAAAATGCCACCCGGGTCACCCGCGGGTGGACCCATGAGCCGCCCGGGTGGGTTAAAAAAGCAACCCTTCGGGTGGATTCATGAGTCACCTGGGTGAAAATAGAGCATTACAGCTGTTTTCATAAATTCCGGAACGGCTGAAAAAATTGCCGATGACCGAATCGATAAGCTTCAGAAGTCGGTTACTTATTGATTCCGACTCGGTAACTTATCAATTCGGTCATCGGCAATTTTTTCAGTTGTTCCAGAATTTATAAAAACAGCTGTAAAAATAAAATAGTAATTTTATTTGGATCGGTTAGAAATTTTATCAAAATGGTGACGTTCAAAATTTTACCTCTGATTCATTAAATGAGTGTCTAGTCTAATATAAAACCCATTTTGAATGTTTTTTTTTTTTAAGAAAAAAAGGCGATTAATATACATACAAGTGCATATTTGGATTACAGCTATTTTCATAATTTCTGGAACACCTGTTCATTACCCGAAATCTTTTTGGTCATTCGGTAAATTACCTAACCCTCCGGAAACTACATCGCTGTCTTCAGATTTTCAGTCCGGAGACAGTGATATAATTTCCGGAGAGTTAGGTAATTTGCCGAACGACCAAAAAGATTTCGGGTAATGAGCAGGTGTTCCAGGAATTATGAAAATAGCTGTAAAGTCGCAATTATTGTTCACGGGTCACCCGTTGGGTGACCCACCCGCTTCCACCCGGGTGGCCAAAACTTCACCCGGGTCACCCGTCCACCCGCGGGTGACCCGGGTGGCACCTATCCGGGTCCAATCAATAGGTCAGATAGAGCTCTAGATTACGTCACGAGGCTCTACTTCGGGATTACAGGTTTAGACTACTAAATTCTATGCGGATTTGACTTATCGGGAGGTAATTGGAACGAAACTTATAATAAACTCTCTATGAGTTGAACTCTACCGAGTTCTACAAACTCAAACTGAGTTTTTTTTTTATTTAGAGCAAAAAGATGGGTCTTAAATAACTTTTGACCTTGGCTGCGTACATGGTGGCTATGCTTTACTAATTTTTTACTATTTTACTTTGATTTTCTAATTTGTACAGATTCAAGAAGCAACACAATACAAATTCGTGCCTAAAAATCGACGACAAACTTGTATCGGCTTAGATGGATACAAATTGTCTCTAGATACAAATTGTATCTCTCTATGAGGAAAAATTCCAAAAAATTTTTGCAGTGTTGATCTTTCCTGCTTTTTCCTTTACTTCGTAACACACCAATTATGACAATTTATTAATAAGGCGGCATACACAATTTACGTTAAGCCAGTATTGTCATAGGGATCTTAAAGATAATACAAACATAATACTATATGGCATTCCCTATTTTTATATAATACAATATACAATACAATAATAGTTTAACGTAAATTGTGTATGCCACCTAATAGAAATAAAAATAATGATAAAAAAAAAAAAATAATAAAAAAAAATTATATCGCGGCCACCCGGCCCCCTTTACAACGTACGAATTTAACCATGTTCTTCGTTCCAATATGTTCCAATATAATTATCAATTTAAAGATATGAAAATTTATCAAAAAATATATATTATAAATTTAGAAAGTTTTAAAATCTCAGAAATTATTCAATAATTTAGCAGCTATTTTAATCATGCTACTATAATTTAATCGAAATTGCCTTACAGATTTTATGTTAGTTTTATATTCCATTGATTTTAAGCCTATAGTATATACGGGTCTAGCATACAGTCGGGAGCTTATATCGTTACAACTGCTTTCATAAATTCTGGGACACCTGACAAAAAAAAATTAGCCGAATGATTTTTTCGGCCGATTCGATTAAGTTTGTGATTTCTGAATAATACAATATATTTTACTGTACGTGCATAATATTTTCGGAGGATATTCGCTGGCAAATAATTTACAGTTTTCATAAATTCTGAAGCAACTGAAAAAAATTGCCGATGACCGAATCGATAAGTTACCGAGTCGGAATCAATAAGTAAAAAAAATTACAACTGTTTTCATAAATTCTGGAGCAACTGAAAAAATTGCCGATGACTGAATCGATAGGTTTCTGAGTTCGGCCGAAGTCGGTTACTTATTGATTCTGACTCGGTAACTTATCGATTCGGTGGTCGGCAATTTTTCAGTTATCGTTATTCCAGAATTTATGAAAACAGCTGTAAAAGCTTATGAAAGATGTGGCGTGGCCTCTGCCGGTCACAATGTCGTGTGGGAATCAGAGATTCCATCTATTTTAAGAATTTTATCGATTTCAAAGAAATATATAAACGTAACCGTTCGAAAATATAAAGCAGACAATCTAAATCTCAGAACATCATCACAGAAATCATGTGGCCACATCTTTTTGCAAAGCGTTATAATTAATTTTTTTTGATCCTCGAATTACATTTCTAAATCAGTTGACAAATTCTTGATCATATCTAACTTTTTAGCACCCATTCGTGTAAATTGCTTATTATAACAATTTTTTTATACCCGGAGCCCTTCTTTATATTTCTTGACTATATTGGTTGACAAGTTCAGTCTTTTTCCACAAACATTCGTATTGTACAGACTAAACACCAATAATGTATTCAAACTAAAAAATTTAATAATGTTATATGCATCAACATTACAATAATATCTGTAGAACAAAGTATACATGTAATACAAAATACGTATAGACACCGGATCATGCCGGAATAATAAACATAATCGAATCGGCCGAAAATCATTCGGATAATTTTTATCCGTGTCCCGAATAGACCTCAATCCGGATATATTTTTTATATCCGGATTAATCCGGTTTTATCATAGTACGTATAAATACGGATTTAAATTTAAACGTATGACGTATCCGGATTTATTTATATCCGGATAGAGGTATTAACTCTAGTCCCGAATTTATGAAAATCTCTGTAATAGAGCATGCACATTTTGTATTTATAATGGAAAACCTCGCATTTGATTATATATTCTGTTATTTGCATTCGTGTATAATACACGGTGGTCTTACTATAAAGAGGACCTGGTACGATAATTAATGTTATTTTGGGGTGAGGGTGTTCAACATGAGTCATGGTTTTATTTTTCTCCTTATATACGTATTAATGCATTGATTATCCGGATAATTTTCTCCAGGTATCCAGACCTAAATTTATTCGGATATCTGATAAGTTTATCCGATCTGAATTTATCCGGATACGGATAAGCGGATGAGTACAAATTTATTCTGATTGAAACTCTAAACTTGATTCTGACTTCTTTTTAATGTAAAACAAATAATCGGATCCCTACGGTCAAAATCAGGCTTACTGCTACTTTCATAATTTCTGGAACACCTACTTGTTACCCGAAATCTTGTTAGCCGTCTGTTAAATTATCTAGCTTTCCGGAAATTGCATCGCTGCTTGAATGTCTGAAGACAGCAATGTAGTTTCCAAAGAGTTAGATAATTTACTGGACGACTGAATGATTTCGGGTAACAAGCAGGTGTTCCAAGAATTATGAAAGTAGCAGTAAATCAAACTAAAATAATTTCACGATTCGGATTAGAAAATAATCCGAAACCGTCAGATCCGAATTATTTAGATTTTATTTTAATAACGGATTACGTTATACACATATAATATAACGCCCAATTACCCAGCGTTAATATACGTATATGGAAAAATCAGAATTACGCACATACGTACTCTATAATAAATCACACGGTAGAAATTTATCCCAGATTTTTGTCGATTATGCAAAGAGACATTATCGTTGCAATAAGAAATTATTATAAATATGGGGAGAATGGAGCGATTTTTTTACAGAACAAAATTCTTATATAAATCAAACTATATAGTATAATATATTCACTTCTCTAGACTTATACTCCAAAAAAAATGGATTATTACTTGGTTGCATTTGTTGCGTTTATTAGCTACTTTTTGTATAAATGTTATTTATACCCTTTATATTTGTCGCCATTAAGTAAAATCCCTGGTCCACCTGTTGACAGTTTCATTCTTGGACACTATAAAACTTTTTTAAGTAAACAGATAGGTGAAGCAACGGATCGTTTAGCCAAAGAATATGGTGGAATAGTTCGGTATCATGGATTATTTAACAAACCACATTTGTCAATTTCCGATCCAAAACTTGTCCAACATGTAATGGTAAATCGTAGTTATGATCACCCAAAATACTTTAACAACAAAGGTGTGCTTGAAGACATTGCTGGTGGTGATGGTATTTTGTTTTCTGATGGAACTTCTCATAAACGACAAAGAAAAATGATGCATCCTTCATTCGCTTTTAACAATGTTAAGGTATTCTTTTACGATTATCAAATATTAAATCTTTTAAAAAAAAATTGATCCTTATATTTATTCTGATTTCTTAATTTTAAGGAAATGTTTCCAACATTTATCCAAGCTGGTCATAATTTAAAAGATATTTGGATGAAAGAAATTGGTAATAAGAAAGAGGAGAGAATTACTATTACCACAATTATTCCAAGTATAACTTTAGATGTTATTGGTCTTGTTGGTATGCATTAGCCTATTTTCATTCTTACATGTTAGATTTTATTAATGATGTTTCTAATCTTAGTCGTAATCATAATAACATTATTTTTTAATAGGATTTAATTACGAATTCAATTCTACTTCATCAAATTCTGAATTAGCTCAAGCTTATAATACAGTAGCTAGTCGTAATCCTTCTCAGTTTTATGATATTTTTGAAGGACTCTTTCCATTCATCAGGAAACTCCCAATTCCTTATTACAACAAATTTAATGACTCTACTAAAATTATTAAAAATATTTCCGAGAGATTAGTTACTGAAAAAAAAAATGAAACAGTTCATGGAAAAGATTTATTGTCATTATTGGTAAAAGCCAATGAGAACTTGCCTGTTGATGAACAATTAACGCATAGTGAATTAGTTAGTCAGGTAAAAATTTATTTTATAATATAATGAATTTATTAAAATTTATTTTTTAATTTATAAATTTTATTTTAAAAATCATAAATTTACTAAATTTTCAAGGTTATGACAATACTTATAGCCGGGCATGATACCACTAGCACTGCATTATCTTGGGCCCTATACTTTCTCGCAAAAAATCCTGATACTCAAGATCGTCTTCGTAAAGAAATACTTGAAGTTTTTACTGATCGTAATAATGTTCCAACTATTGAAGAAATTGAACATTTGAAATACTTAGAATGTGTCTTTAAAGAAACCTTAAGAATCGTTCCACCTGGTATAGTTCAATATCTATTTTTTATCTTTCAATTTATTCAATTTATTTATTTTTAATTTATTCTACTCTATTTTATTATGTTTTAAAGTGCCTGCACTTATCCGTACTACATCAAAAAATGAACTTATGAATGGTTATGTTGTTCCAAAGGTATTTACCCAATAAATTTTTCATAGTTCAATTAAGTTGATAATAATATAGTAATTAACTTAAAAATTTTACTTAGGGAACTCCAATGATAATTTCTATCTACGCAGTCCATCATGATCCCTCAATTTGGGGTGATGATGCTGAGTATTTTAATCCATCTCGTTGGCTTGATCCTGAAATAAAATCGAAAGTAACAAATAGTAATTTCTTACCTTTTAGTGCTGGTCCAAGAAATTGTTTAGGAATGAAAATGGCTCATTTGGAATTTAAATCTATCTTATCTGTAATTATTAGAAATTTTGAGTTTAGATTAGTTGAAGGCTTTACTTTTGAAAAGAGACTTTTAACTATATCTAAACCTGTTCCTGGAATTGATTTATTCGTTTCAAAAGTGGATTATTAGTTATTTTCTTAAATAAGTTTGTTTAGTGGAATTTTTATAAATTTTTAGAATTTTTTTTTTTTAAATCTGTTCATTATTTCATGTATAAATACATTTGTTATTTTTTTCTGGTTTGTTTAACAATGTATATTTTTTATTAAAATAATTAGAGAATAAATTTATATCCGAAATGTAATATTCGTATCCCCTAAAGATTAAAAATTTCTATAATCTGAGTGAAGATATCTTAACAACTTCCAAAATGAATTTGATAAAAATTTTTTTTTGAATTTAGTGAACTTTTAAATTTTTAAAAAAGGTTCACTTTTACTAAAACGCACCAATGAAGTTTACTATCTATATTGTATCATTTAAAAACTAGCTAATTAATCAATAT